CTGGTGTTAAAAAGAAATGTAACCTTTTTTCATTTATTTTATGTAATAAAATTATAGCACAGTGAAAACATTTTACATCATTGTAACATGTTGTTCTCTTTACCGTCTCTTACTGTCTGTATGTTTTCAGTTCAGAGAAGCCCAACTGGGATTACCATGCTGAAATACAAGCTTTTGGACATCGGTTACAGGAAACCTTTTCCTTAGATCTTCTCAAAACTGCATTTGTTAACAGCTGCTATATTGAAAGTGAGGAGGCCAAACGCCAAAAACTTGGAATAGAGAAAGAAGCTGTTCGTCTGAATCTTAAAGATAATCGAGAACTATCTGAAGAAGGGATATCTTTTGCACAAACTTGCCTCACACAATTTTTTGAAGATGAGTACCCAGACTTGCCCACTGAAGGTATCAAAAGTCTTGTTGACTTTCTCACTGGTGAGGAAGTTGTGTGTCACGTGGCTAGAAACTTGGCTGTGGAGCAGTTGACACTGAGTGCAGAATTTCCAGTGCCCCCAACTGTATTAAAGCAGACTTTCTTTGCAGTAATTGGTGCCCTGCTACAGAGTAGTGGGCCTGAGAGGACTGCACTTTTCATCAGGGTAGGTAATTATTAATTGCACATGCTCAACATGCTTGAAGTGGGCAGAAAGAAAAATTTCTTTTTGTAATTCATTTCTTTAATATATCATTTTGGAAGTGAATTTTTCTGCCAACAAAAATTGAGAAAGATTTAAAGCTTTTTTATGGTAGGGCCTTAATTATTTGAGTTGTCAATTGTTGAGGATATCATCAGAAGTGAATATTAAATTCTGGGTTGTACAAAACTATGCTATCTACCCTAAGTGAATTCTTGTATTGAGATAACATGCTGTACCCCAGAAATATGTACAAATAAATGTTAAAATATTTTGAATTAAAAAAAAAAAAAACCTAAACATTTACTGATGAAGTCACCAAATTTGGAGATTTTAGGAAAAGAAACTACTATAATATCTAAACTAGAAAAAGAAACGGAGGGGTGGAGGCATGGTGGGGAGAGAGCAGATAAATGCCCAGAGAGAAAAATATTTAGAAACGGAAACAGAGGTCTCCTCTGCAACACTAAATGCTTTTTTTTTTTTTTTTTTAATAAGATGACAGGTAAGGGGATCTTAACCCTTGACTTGGTGTTGTCAGCACCACGCTGTCCCAAGTGAGCAAACCGGCCATCCCTATATAGGGAGCTGAAGCTGTGGCCTTGGTGTTAACAGCACCAACACTCTCCCGAGTGAGCCACGGGCCGGCCCAAACACTAAATGCTTTTAAGGACAAAGATTTTGATCCAGGGATGTTGTCTTTATTTAAATTATCATTCACATCTAAGGGCAAAAGGATCTGCTAAAGATTCACAAAGTATGTTACTTCTGTAAAATAATTACTGTACACAGTACTCCAGCCAAGTGAGATTTGAACCAGAGAATAGAAAGAGCATAACAAAAAACGAGTGAACAACCATGAGAGATTTCCAAATGTGAGTGCTACATTATGTCCCTTCTCACAGGACACTAAAATTTGGGGGTATTTTGTTATACAACAATAGATCCCAAAGCAGCAATTAATGTAGTAAAATATAATGTACTAATTAATATTACCGTAAAACTGTTAAAATGTTAAAAAACCCTAACAAATTGTGGGTTGTGACTTCTGAAGGACTACAGGCTATGTCATCTTTAGTTTTACATCCTTAGAACCAAGGATAATGCCTACATGGTAGGTACTCAGTAGAGGTTTGGTGATATGAATGAGGTCAAAGGACAGAATCCAAGGGGTTAGCATGGTTAGGAACTTCATGCTTAAGTACCAGCTGCTGTTCTCTTCTTAAATGATGAAATCTTGGACTTCTGAGTCCCCTGTGATGTACAACCAATTCTGTGTTAGCCAGTAGTTTAGCTAATTAAAATTCTATATAATTGGTACCACTTGACTCCTGCTGTCCTTTTAGAATTTATTAACTGTGAGAAGTTTTATCCTTTGGCATTAGATGAAAACATGAGTTTTTGTTCTCTCTCTGATAACAGAGTCGACACAATCACTTTTTTTTTTTTCCTTTTTGTCTTTTTTCGTGTCCGGCAACAGATCGCAACCCTCAGTGTCGCACCCGTACCGGACCGGGACCGGCAACGGAATCGCAACCCTCGGTGTTGCGCCCGCACCTCGCTCAGCCAGTGAGCGGGAACCGGTCTGTATGTGGGATCCGAACCCTCGGCGGGAGCACGATCACACTCCCAAGCGGTGCACTGTAGCAGTGCACCACCGGGCCGGCCCCCACAATCACTTTTAAGTCATGAGAACAGTCTTAAGTCACACGTTTGAATGTCAGGTCCTTTAAACCAGCATTGCTTGCTGTTGGAATCCATTCATTTAGTTTTGGTACCAAGTTTGATAATTTTGTTAGAGAAGGATACCTGTATTAACTGACACTTCAGACCTTATTTGTAGGTAAAACCTGTCTTTGTCCTTCCCCGTAGGGCCTATATAATAGGTGGGCTACTCACTTTCCTCCCAATTAGATAGCTTTTTCTGAAGAAATTCTTACAAAGACTTCCTTGATTTTCATTCTCTTAATCCCTATTGCCTCTGTGGAGTTTTAAAACTGTCTGAACAGTTTTTGGTCACCTCCATGAAATTTCCACAAGGTAGTCATGAGACTATTTTGGAAATATTTGTTTACCATATTCTAGTGTCTCTTTTAACAGTTCCAATTAAAGATTCTATTAAAGATAGATAATTCAAATAACTGTTTCTAGGTCAAGAACTTTGGCTGGCTGGTTACTCAAGAGTGTGGTGCCAATAACACCAAGTTCCAGGGTTTGACCCTTGTACCTCCCAGCCATCGAAAAAAAAGCTTTGATGTCTCCCATAGTACAGTTGGCAAGTTGGAAGTGTCTTTTTAAAAAAATTCATTCATTCACCTAATATTGAGTGTCTTACTACATGCCAGACACTCTGCTGAGCTCTGGAGCCAGAAGCTAAGTAGGATGAGATCCTATTCAACAGTTCATTAGGCAGATGGAGCAGAATATGGGAAGCGCTCTCATAGAGCTATTAAGGTGCGTTGGGAACTCAGAGGAGGCAACAACCAATTATGTCTAGTGGTAGGATTAGGGAAGGTTTTACAGAAGTGAAATTTGCTTCTAAAAAATATGCCTCAAGGATGAGCACGTGCTTGGAAAACTATGATTAATTTTGTGTGGCTGGATCATGTTGCATCTGGAGGAATGATCAGAGATGTGTCTGGTCCTTTAAGAAGTAGTGTACAGAAGATCTAACAGTGTTACTGGGAAAGTGGTTTGGGCATCAGTATTGTCAGCATCTCTGAGAACTTGTTCAAAATGCACATTCTCTGGCACCACCCCAGACTATATCATCTCTGAGAGGGTGGCCTAGGAGTCTGTTTTAACTAGCTCTCCAGGTGATTCTTCTGCACCTGGAGATTTGAGGAGCACTCTTTTTAGTCATGGTAAAGAGTATGTATTTGATGATCCTTTGGAGAGAAAGCTGGAGGAGTTCTAAATGGGAGGTTTCCGTGATCAAATGTGCATTTTTAGAAACTCATTTTTTCATACTGCCTCCCAATTTCTGGGGAGATTCAATTCACACCCTGCTGAAAGTTCTAATAACAAATCAGTAAGACTAGGAGCCAGTAGGAAAAAATAGGAGGAAACAGGTAATCACCCCAGAGAAATTGAGATTTCTATTATCCTATTGATATCTTAGGCATTTGGAAAAGAATTATTTTTCCTTACCCTACACTTGATTATTCTGTATGGCAAATAATCCAGTAATTCATACATACATGCATATAAATATATGTCTCCTAAGGCATCTCTACCTCTGTACATTAAAACATTAAAAATCCCCTACTGAGATGGACTTATAAATATTTTTTATTAATGAAGCTGAATGTTCTTTTGATGCTTATAGGAGTGTTGTAATGAAATTAACTGTTTATTTCGTGAACAAAGGGATCTTTTTAAATTTCTCGCCTGCTGTCCCCATTCATCCATCCTGTTATATTTCTGTCGATACTGGTTAATTGCAGTATATAAATTGTGAAAATTAATGTTTGTTTACATATTTTCTTTTTCCTTGTGCCAGCTGGCAGTACAGGGATGTTTCCATATTTTTTGTATAACAGTTTTTTTTTCCCAGCAAAATGAATTCTTCTTTGAATATTCATAATTTGTTTCTCAGTTTTCTTAGCCATATAAAGAAGTATTATTGAGTCACAAAGTTTTAAATGACAGTTTATGTGAAATTATTATTTTTATTTCTATTTTTTAATTATTTTGAGGGGGCACTGGTTGGTACAGGGATCAAATCCTGGACCCTGTTGTTATCAGGACCACACTCTAACCCACTGAGGTAACCAGCCAGCCCCTATTTAAATTATTGTTAAAAAAAATTAGTAACTTAATGGAGTAAGTATTGTTATCTAAAGGCCCTGAGTACCATTTTACATGAGTTTCTGCCGGAAATTATAGCTTTATTCGTTGATTCAACTCTTTAAATATTTTTTAATGTATTCTAATATGTTTTAATATATTATAATATAATGTAGGAATATATTCTAATATATTTTTAATATATTATAATATAATGTAGGAATATAATTCTAAATTATGATAGGATTCCTCCTTCTATGGAATTTTGGTAGATCATATTGCTTGAAATGGACAGTTTTCTCAGGCTTCCAAATATATTTTTTTTGTCCAACTTTGATGTTTGTAATAAAATTTATATGGAAAAAACTGGGAGTGAAAAAGAACAGGACATTTTATCTTTCAATTCCCATTAAGTTTTTAATTTCTGTACTTTGGATTATGGTCCTTATGTTCTTTGTACTAGTTTAAATGTATAAATTACATTTTTATATCTAGGACTTCTTAATTACTCAAATGACTGGAAAAGAGCTCTTTGAGATGTGGAAGATAATAAATCCCATGGGGCTACTGGTAGAAGAACTGAAGAAAAGGAATATTTCAGCTCCTGAATCAAGACTTACGAGGCAGTCTGGAAGCACCACAGCTTTGCCTTTGTATTTTGTTGGCTTATACAGGTTAGTGAAATTTAAATCTTAGTTTCATAACTTTGATTAGAAAACTTAAAAACAGACTCTTCACAATTCCTTAACATAACCTATAACTGTATTAAAGATTTTTTTAAAATCTCATCGCCATGATTATCCTTACCTACTGGTCATTCTTTGGAGAAGGCAAGTAATCTCTGGTAATAAGAGCTTTTATTAGCCAACTATTTGCTGTAGAATTTCATGGGATATATATTAACCTACATTTTTCTGTATAAAAATAAAGTTTTGACTTACATGTGTTATAGATTTTATCTTAATCCATTCGTCAGCAGTTTCAGCTGAGCCTAGAACTGGAAAAGGGAGGGCTTAGTTGTTCATCAAAATGTATAAATCAACCCATGTTGAAAGCTTCGTGGTTTTGTTTAGTAAAAAGTTGACCTGCCCAAAATTGATTTTAGGAGTTAAGATAAAAATGTTAAACATAAACACTGAATATCTAAACTAGATGATGGGCCGGCCCGGTGGCGCACTGGAGAGTGCACTGCTTGGGAGCGCGGCAGTGCTCCCGCTGAGGGTTCGGATCCCATGTGGAGACTGGTTCCCGCTCACTGGCTGAGCGTGGTGCGGGCGCAACACCGAGGGTTGCGATGCCGTTGCCGGTTCCCGGTACGGGCGTGACACCGAGGGTTGCGATCCCGTTACCAGTCAGTAAAAAAGACAAAAAGGAAAAAAAAAAGATAACTAGATGAAAACTAAGATAAATATTTTTCTAATCTTTGTATCATGAAGGACTTTATAGGTGTAAAAACAGTGGAAGACATCACAAAGGAGAAAATGGATAGTGTCCTAAAAAGTTTGATCTTCAGTATTAAATTGAAGTGCAAAGCAAAAACAATGAGATACTCTTTTTTGCTTATCAGCTTGGCAAACCTGAAGGTCATTCGTTATCAGCAGTTCATACACTACTGGTAGAAGAAAAAAATGTACAATATTACTGTGAGTAATTTTGACAGAAGCTGAGAATCTTTAAAATTTTCACATCCTTTGGTTTGGTATTTCTACTTGTGGTTGTCTTAATATCATAGATGAAAATTTGTGAACAAAGATGTTCATTTGTTGTTCATCTCTTCATATTCCATACCTAGAGCAGTTCCTGGGACATGGTGGTTAGTAAATAGTTATTGAACTCATAAAAAATTAGAAGTAAATTTGGAATCCATCAAGAGGAAAATAGTATATGCACATGATGGAATATAATGCAGCTACTACAGGCGACATTTTTAAACAATTTTTAGTGACAGTGGGGTGTTTGGGGGAATGATCTTTTATCTAAAAAAAATGTAAGAAGTAATTTGCCGTATTACTAACAGTGATTGTTATTGCGTAATAGTTTTTTCCTAGGTATTACATAATGACTTTTTAAAAGATAGTCAAGTATATACTATCAGCATCATTGGACTAAAAACTTGGTGATACATCTCCTGTGTGTGAAATGCATTTTTAGATATTTTCTCTATTCCTCACTTTATGCAAATATGTATGTCTAATTATTATTGTTTGGGGTTTTTTTCTCTTTTTTTTTGAAATCCTCCCTTGCTCTTAATTAGTTAAACCAGGTGAGGGTGGTAGGGGATATTTCCCAGCAATTCTTGTGTAAATTCAAGTGTTAGGCTCTTATTTGGAGTAAAATAGGCTCTTCACTGTTTTCCCAAGTTGCAAAAATTCTCTCTTCATCTTTCCCCCCTGTATTTCTCTATTCAATCTTGGCTGCCACCATCTCATAGATAGAAAGCTCAAGGACTTTTTTCTTGCATCTGTAGTGGAAACCTTAGCAGCAGACTCTATGTCTATAATTATAAAGTTTAACTTACATAATTAACCTTTGTTTCATTTCAAATTACTGTCATAGCAAATATTTCTTAGCAAATTCCTTTCACGTTGTAGTTTACTTAGGTAGCTTCACTTGTTTTTCTTTAACTTTCAAGTCAATTTACATTGAATTTATGTTATTAAGTGGAGTTGTGCATGAAACTTTCAGAGACATGCTTCTTTAAATTGCATAAGTGAAATATTAGGTAAGGAAATTTCTAGGAAGTAGGTTAAATATAATTAGAAGTATCAAAACTAATAGGGTTATGGTTATTTAATGTGCACATTCTTTGCTCTGTTGCAGGAACATTTTTATGCTTTTAAAGAAGGTGGTTATAATAGAAATATCAGTAAAGCAGAGGAATACCCATTTTAGTTTTATCAAATTTTAATAAAATTCTAATAGCCAACATTTACTGTTTACTGTGCCACCTTACTATCTTTTGGGAATACATTAGAGAGGGATATAAATGGATAAAATAAGTTTTGAAAGTGAGCAAGTTTTGAAGATCTAAAGTTCTTTATTTAAAATACAGAACTGGGTTGGTTAGACAGTGGTGTTAAAGCACCAAGGTCAGGGGTTCAGATCCCTATACTGGCCAGCTGCCCCCCAAAAATAAAAATAAAATATAGAACTGATTTCTCATTTGTGTTGAAGTTTAGATGACAAACTCAGAAGGTGCAATTTTTCAATAGTCTTTCCTTAAGTTATATAGTAAATGAATTAAAATAATCTTAGTCATAGTTCCCAAGAATATTTTTAATAGCTTCAGGTTTTTATAAGAAAATATTTATATATTCTTCCAGTTTTCCCATCAACAATTTACAAAAACATAGATATGCTTTTTTTATTTGAAAGCCTAGGAGCTGTTTATATTTCTACAGAAATGTAAATGTTTCTTTGTTTAGCTACCATACATAATGAACCTGCAACAAAACTAGTTAAAATCCAAAAGATGATATATATATATAAAACTTGTGTTACTTCTGGTGGGTATTATTATCAAAAATAAGATTTAGAAGGCATAACTGCTTTGTGAACTATATCTTATGATACAGCATATAATTTACAACTACTGTTTGTCTTCTTTCTAGTGATAAAAAGCTGATTGCAGAAGGACCTGGGGAAACAGTATTGGTTGCAGAAGAAGAAGCTGCTCGAGTGGCACTTAGAAAACTTTATAGATTCACAGAGAATAGACGGCCCTGGGACTATTCTAAGCCCAAAGAGAAAGTTTTGAGAGAGGAAAAGACCAAAGATGTGGCAACCTGAAATTTGTAAGCAAAACAAGGTGAATGTCAAAGGTATTCCAAGCTAGACATTTTTGAAATTGTGAAGAAGTACATCTTATTCTTCATACCGTGTTTCTAAAATTGTTTATCAGGTCACAGTTTTTTTTTTTTTTAAATCTTCTGTTTTGTCAAAAGTCTTTTTTTTTTTTTGACATTTTTCCAATTAATTTTTCTTTAATCCTTGATTTTATTATTGTATGTAATTTGTACAGTTAGGTGTATTTTATTCCCCTCTAGCTTTGAGATATCATAATTCAAATGTATGTCTTATGTGAACTTTGCTATAATATCAATAAAAAAGTTATTCTTTCTCTAAATATTACATTGCACTTTTATTTGATATACCCAGGAATGGTAGAAGGTTGATGAACTTTGCTTCTGTAATATAATTTTAACTAAAATAGAATGTTATAACTCTTCTAGAATGCAAGGTACAAATTATAACTGATAGCTATTTACATGATCTCTAGATTCTGTATAAGTTTAAAATTCTGTGTACTTCTGATATGCTTTAGTTATTTAATTTCTATAAATAAATAAATGGCAGAAAAGGTAAATGTTATGCTTTTAAGAAATTGCCTTTTCTAAGAAAGTGAAACTCAAAAGCAGCTTAAAATATTGATGTTAATGGTAAAATAAAGTATGTACTTATCAATTCCACTTAGTATTCCATAATCAGAGTAATAGGTACTATGTACCAAGCACTGACTAAGTATAAGAACACATTTAATTCGGTAGAGGTCCAATTTTAGAGAGTGTCCTTCCGGGTTTTTAATCCATTGTGTTCAGTTTAGTAATCCTCTAACTGCAAATTCTCTTTGATTTCTTTTTAACTTTTTGGCAACAGTGATAATTTTTAGTTTCAGTCTGCCAGTAGTCACTCCCAGGCGTTAACAAGAAAGGTGGGACTTGGGAGTTGAGAATAGAAAAGAGGTAAAACGTTAAAATCAATAGCACTTTTGTCATGAAGTCTTTTCATAAAAGAGGAAGGAACTTTGAAACTTTTTGAGACTGGCCAGAAAAGTGGAACTTGGTCATATGTAAGAGGGTTTACAGCTATCACAGGCAAAGCGGGGACTGTTTTTGGAGGGGAAATTTTGAGAAGAACCTAGTTGGCTGAATTAGTTTGTTAAACTTGAGTTATTTCACCTTTTTTTTTTTTTTGAGTTAACTCCAACTCCTAATAATTAAACACAAGGATAGAGGACTGAACCCAGTAGTAAAAACACCACTTAGGTGGGTCATCCACAAGTAAACATGGTTTGATAAGCATTTCATTGACCCTGTAGCAGGAAAGAGATTATGTAATGAAAATTTCTGGGAAGCAAAAGAGTAAATGTCTTCTAACCACTGTTGAATGACAAAATTACAGCACATTTAGTTAAAGGTCTCATTTGGCTTTATTGTGGTTCTAGAATCGGGCAATCATTCCATAAAATAAAATTAAGTGTTCTAGTGAGCTGAGTAAAAGAGGCTAACTATAGACAGAAAAAGGGCAGAAGAAAGCAAAGGACAAAAAGCAGATTATTCATTTCATAGTTACTTTCATTGTAAGGTAGGGATAGGGAGACAGAACAAAAATAAATAACTGTTTACTTCAGTATTTAATCCTTTGTAAGGATCAAAGCATAGGGAGCTTCATGATCATGCTTATTGAAGATTTGTTATATTTTTGTGTATATATCTATATAATTTTTTTTTTTATTTTTGCAACTGAAACCCTTGACCTTGGCGTTACAACACCAACTCTTACTGAAGATTAAAACTGGCCTGTCTGGGAATTTTTCAGGTCAGACAGCAGCTTGGTTTGGGCTTGGTGATGTGGAACATTAGCTGGGGTGACTCCATTTTGATTTTTAGTCTGGTTTGTGAGGGCCTAGTGCAGGAACTTAGTCCAAAACAATAGCTTCCTATAACTTTTAACACCACGTACTCATCCTGCAAATGCAAAATGTTCCATTCTAGCTAGAGTATTATTCTAATTTAATTTTAGGTGAACATTTTTTTTTAAAGGCTTTAGAGTATTCAGTTGCAAATTCAAATAATCCTTTTTTCCCCTCATAAGTAGTGCTGTTAATGCCATCCCAAATTTCACCTGCCCAGGGCAGTTTGCAGGACCTTAACCTAAAAGCTTGCAGGGGAACTATCCTTACCCTTAGGTTTCCAAGCTTCCAAACCTTGAAAGCTTCTGGATTTACATATGAAACAAAGCTAACTCTAATTCATAAAACTACTTTGCAAGTAAGAGATCCCTTATAAAGAATGTGATTTCAACACATTTCTAACTAAAACTTTTGAACCTAAGTGGTACTTTTTAAAAGCTCCCATTAAGGGCTGGCCCGGTGGCGCACTGGAGAGTGCGCCGCTTGGGAGCGAGGTAGCGCTCCTGCCGAGGGTTCGGATCCCATGTGGTGACCAGTTCCCGCTCACTGGCTGAGCAAGGTGTGGGCGCAACACCGAGGGTTGCGATCCCGTTGCTGGTCCCCAGTGCGGGCACGACACTGAGGGTTGCGATCCTGTTACCGGCCAGTAAAAAAAAGA